CCCCCGCACTTCAAGAGTTAAGTGCTCATTTTGTCTAGGGAGCTAAAATAAAGTTATACTCACCCGAACTGCGATCCCGGCTGGCTCTTACAGCGGTGCCTGCAGCGTGTCTCCTCCTCCGCTCCAGCGATGGAGTGTCCCTCGACGTCCTAACATTCTATACACTGCATAGAACATGATGGACCTGAGACCTTTTTAGCTCCCTGGACAAAATGAGGACTTAACCCTTGTAGTGCAGGGGTAGCATTACTGCAAGGGCTAAGATTTGATTTAATGTACGCAACCTAAACATAGACATGTATTACATGCTAGACAGATGATTGTCACCCAACTGCTGAGAAATTTGGCAGAATCGATGCCCTAGGCACACTTACTTGGCTGTACCTCAAGGACTGCTTTTTAATGACAAAAATAAAAATACTTGATTCAATAATATAGTAATACAAATTTGTGATGTTTACTATAGATCCACTTAATTCAGGGGTGGACAAGGTAATACAGAATTTAGGAGCCAGTCTCATTCCAGGAGCCAGCAGGATCTTTTTTTTTTTTCTAGGAGCCAGCTTTATTGACAACAACTAGAGAAAACCTCAAAAGTTTGGCACCAGCTCAGTCAGATCTGAGTCACTAAACACAAAGCATTCTCTATGTGGCTGTAATTTCAACAATTGCTACTCAAGTAGGCCAAGTGATTGCAGTGAAATGCAGCTCTCCTCCTAGTGACAAACCTGCAAATTTAGCACAATGATGGAACTATAGAACAAGCATGTAAATCTGTCGCACCAAAAATGACTTTACTGTTAGGGCACATTCACACCGTTACGAGTGCTGTTGGTATGCAGTGCTATTCATTCTTAATGCTACCCTAACGCACTGTCCCAGTTAGGGCTGCAGCTAACAATTCTTTTCATAATCGATTAGTTGCCTGATTATTTTTTCGATTAGTTGCATTCAAAAAATCTCTCTCATAATGAGAATAGTTGACAACTATTCTCATTATTGATTAGTTGGTTGCAGCCCTAGTCCCAGTGTAACATGATGTGTGCTCCTCTTCAACAGCCAGAAGAAGAGCATGTTCAGAAAGAGAGCTTAGCACTGGTACTCTCCTCCAGGCCCAATAAACTATGGTTGGCGGTTGCAGAGGAATGTGAATTGTCGCATGGACATCTGATTGTGGCACACTCCAATTCACATAAACGATTATATTGCAGGGCGTATAGTTTGTTAGGTGCAGAAACCATGACTTTGACGGTCTTGTGCCATCATCCTGTTGGTACAATACCGCACACCTCCACTGTGCCAAATATTGACTAAATGATTTTCTGAAAAAAATATTTCTGTGGCACAGATCAGGCTTCTTCTTTTACACTTTTTGTGTTCATTTTTTTTTTTATCAGGGTAATTTGGGTGTATACAAGGTATGATGAGGTGTAATGGGTGTATACGTGATATGATAGGTGTATTCAGGGTATGATGGGGTGTGAGAGGTGTATGCAGGGTATGGCAGGTTTATCAAGGGTATGATGGGCGTATGCGGGGTATGGCGGGTTTATCAAGGGTATGATGGGCGTATGCAGGTTTATCAAGGATATGACTGGCGTATGAAGGGTATGGCAGGTTTATCAAGGGTATGACGGGCGTATGCGGGGTATGGCAGGTTTATCAAGGGTATGACGGGCGTATGCGGGGTATGGCAGGTTTATCAAGGGTATGACGGGCGTATGCGGGGTATGGCAGGTTTATCAAGGGTATGATGGGCGTATGCGGGGTATGGCAGGTTTATCAAGGGTATGATGGGCGTATGCGGGGTATGGCAGGTTTATCAAGGGTATGATGGGCGTATGCGGGGTATGGCAGGTTTATCAAGGGTATGATGGGCGTATGCGGGGTATGGCAGGTTTATCAAGGGTATGATGGGCGTATGCGGGGTATGGCAGGTTTATCAAGGGTATGATGGGCGTATGCGGGGTATGGCAGGTTTATCAAGGGTATGATGGGCGTATGCGGGGTATGGCAGGTTTATCAAGGGTATGATGGGCGTATGCGGGGTATGGCAGGTTTATCAAGGGTATGATGGGCGTATGCGGGGTATGGCAGGTTTATCAAGGGTATGATGGGCGTATGCGGGGTATGGCAGGTTTATCAAGGGTATGATGGGCGTATGCGGGGTATGGCAGGTTTATCAAGGGTATGATGGGCGTATGCGGGGTATGGCAGGTTTATCAAGGGTATGATGGGCGTATGCGGGGTATGGCAGGTTTATCAAGGGTATGATGGGCGTATGCGGGGTATGGCAGGTTTATCAAGGGTATGATGGGCGTATGCGGGGTATGGCAGGTTTATCAAGGGTATGATGGGCGTATGCGGGGTATGGCAGGTTTATCAAGGGTATGATGGGCGTATGCGGGGTATGGCAGGTTTATCAAGGGTATGATGGGCGTATGCGGGGTATGGCAGGTTTATCAAGGGTATGATGGGCGTATGCGGGGTATGGCAGGTTTATCAAGGGTATGATGGGCGTATGCGGGGTATGGCAGGTTTATCAAGGGTATGATGGGCGTATGCGGGGTATGGCAGGTTTATCAAGGGTATGATGGGCGTATGCGGGGTATGGCAGGTTTATCAAGGGTATGATGGGCGTATGCGGGGTATGGCAGGTTTATCAAGGGTATGATGGGCGTATGCGGGGTATGGCAGGTTTATCAAGGGTATGATGGGCGTATGCGGGGTATGGCAGGTTTATCAAGGGTATGATGGGCGTATGCGGGGTATGGCAGGTTTATCAAGGGTATGATGGGCGTATGCGGGGTATGGCAGGTTTATCAAGGGTATGATGGGCGTATGCGGGGTATGGCAGGTTTATCAAGGGTATGATGGGCGTATGCGGGGTATGGCAGGTTTATCAAGGGTATGATGGGCGTATGCGGGGTATGGCAGGTTTATCAAGGGTATGATGGGCGTATGCGGGGTATGGCAGGTTTATCAAGGGTATGATGGGCGTATGCGGGGTATGGCAGGTTTATCAAGGGTATGATGGGCGTATGCGGGGTATGGCAGGTTTATCAAGGGTATGATGGGCGTATGCGGGGTATGGCAGGTTTATCAAGGGTATGATGGGCGTATGCGGGGTATGGCAGGTTTATCAAGGGTATGATGGGCGTATGCGGGGTATGGCAGGTTTATCAAGGGTATGATGGGCGTATGCGGGGTATGGCAGGTTTATCAAGGGTATGATGGGCGTATGCGGGGTATGGCAGGTTTATCAAGGGTATGATGGGCGTATGCGGGGTATGGCAGGTTTATCAAGGGTATGATGGGCGTATGCGGGGTATGGCAGGTTTATCAAGGGTATGATGGGCGTATGCGGGGTATGGCAGGTTTATCAAGGGTATGATGGGCGTATGCGGGGTATGGCAGGTTTATCAAGGGTATGATGGGCGTATGCGGGGTATGGCAGGTTTATCAAGGGTATGATGGGCGTATGCGGGGTATGGCAGGTTTATCAAGGGTATGATGGGCGTATGCGGGGTATGGCAGGTTTATCAAGGGTATGATGGGCGTATGCGGGGTATGGCAGGTTTATCAAGGGTATGATGGGCGTATGCGGGGTATGGCAGGTTTATCAAGGGTATGATGGGCGTATGCGGGGTATGGCAGGTTTATCAAGGGTATGATGGGCGTATGCGGGGTATGGCAGGTTTATCAAGGGTATGATGGGCGTATGCGGGGTATGGCAGGTTTATCAAGGGTATGATGGGCGTATGCGGGGTATGGCAGGTTTATCAAGGGTATGATGGGCGTATGCGGGGTATGGCAGGTTTATCAAGGGTATGATGGGCGTATGCGGGGTATGGCAGGTTTATCAAGGGTATGATGGGCGTATGCGGGGTATGGCAGGTTTATCAAGGGTATGATGGGCGTATGCGGGGTATGGCAGGTTTAAATGGCAGGTTTATGAAGGGTATGGTGGGTGTATACAGGGTGTGAGGTGGTTGTAATGTGTTTTACTTAGAATATTTTGCATGTGGCACACTAGTTGCATCCCACGAATCAAATCTTTCAACTTAGTGTCTTATTTGGCTCATTCATAAAACAACAAAAAATCAGTGTTCCGCAGAACAAATTATTTACCAGATTTCTCTAATGACAGATCATCTATAAAGTATTAGAATAAAGGATTAGCGTTTCATTCCATTCCTTGTGCATCATCAATAGTATTTTCCAGTTCAGTCATTTAATTTGAATACGAGCCGCTAGCTCTGACATTCCCCCCACACCAGTCCCATGTGCCAGCGTTCCGGGCACAGGGGCGGCTCCTGCTCACAGAGTGGGCGGGACCAGGGGCTCTAACTCATCCTAAAGTTCCATTCTGGCACTCTGGAAAACAAGTATCCCGCGATGAGTAATGGATGGAGCGCGCCCCGCATTCACGTCTTCCAGACCATCCCCATTGGGGGATAAAAGACTGATGGAGCCCAATGGCTCAGATCCCAGTGCCAGTCTTCTACAATCCATGCCATACACCTGTCACTGAAGCTAAGAAGGACTACTATACTCAGAGTATGGCACCCTATTCCACGATCGGGATGACCCACCATGGCACAGCTCTGCTCTATGATTTATGACCACTCTATAGGTGAGTGCCACACTTAGGGAACGTGCTGGTGGCTGAAGGCTCTTGTCCCAGCTGTCATCACCTACCTGCGGCTTCCCGATAGCCTTGCCCAGGGTGTACGGGGCGCTCATGACAGATGGACCCAGGTGAGCGCCGAACCTATATGCACAACTGCCAGCTCCACACCAAATATCTGAAGGACAAGAGGAGTCGCCTGCAGATTAAACCCTGCCCGCCGCCACTAGCGTCACTCTCCCACTTGTCTGCCATAGGTGGGAGCCGGCGGTCACATGACCTCAGTGTACAGGCAGTGATTGGTCGAGCAGGGATGGTAGGTGGATGACACTGTGCTGGGAACTCCGGTCACATTCCAGCTCTGGAGGATGATCGAGCTGTATGGCTGGAGATTTGCTTCTCATAGAGTCCATTCACTACTAGGAGAATGTTGTAAGTAAAACATGCTTCTGTCATCTTCTCACTGCCTCTGATTTCTAGGCATCGGTTCTCATCAGAGATTCCTCCAAAATTACTAGTCATCATGAGTCTTCTGCTCCCCCAAAGAGTTTCTGGACCCCATTTTTAAATAGAGCAAGTAAGGGTTAAAACACCTTTCAGGTATTGTTATGCTGGCACTGTGTCCTTTTAGAGCCGCTGACCTCAGGTAACACTTCACATAAATAAGCACTTCCTGATGCCTCCCTTCCTGTATTTCTTTTGTCAGTTTGATTCCCCCTCTGATATCTCTAGGCCTCATTCACATGGGTAATTTGAGCTGTTCAAACATCATGGATCAGTGCTTCTCTGCGGCAGGGATGCATGGGTGTGTGTGATCAGCCTCGGCCAGTAGCCTGTCCAGATGACAGGAGCTGCAGCTGTTTGCATGCAACCACACAAGCAGTTACATGTGAGTAGGGACAGGCAAGTGGCCCTGGACGCAGACATTTTGTGTCCAGGGCCACTCACTTGTCCCTAATCACATGTAATCACTTGGATGTGACGTTATGTATGGAGAGCTGTGGTACCTGTCATTGATCTCTACAGGGTGCGGATTGCATGCACCTGTGCATTCCCAACACAAGGGGCGGCGTACAGCCCAAATTGGTCATGTGAATGAGGCCTTAGGAGTGTCGGAGACTTTCTGTAGTTGTCCCTGTACTGGACCTGGCATTACCAAGGTGTCTGGCTTCTTCATGGGAAGTTTCCAAAGCTGTGTGTGGAAGGGAAAAAGAGGAAAGCTTAACCAGTTCCCTGTTGTCACTCACAGAGCCCTGGAAGCTTCACAGGCAACAGCCTGTTACTGACAAAATACATCTCTTTTTTTTTAAATTAGTCTTAGGATTATGAAATGTTTCAAAGGAGCGCTGACAAATAGTCTGGTGATAAATATTTTGTACACACCTAACATTCACAAGTACGAGCATACAGACCTTTGGGTACCCCATAGACTCTACATCTCTAAAGGTGTATGGGTTATTTTGACAGGTTTATTTTAGGGAATTCTTTTTACTCTTAATTCATAAATACTTCTAGCCTGTTGTTACATTTCACATTGAGAGTAATAACGTGTTTTTTTTCTAGGTGTACAGCTTCCATCAATCACGGTCTTCAGTTAGGATGATGGCTATTACAGTTGCAGTAATTATGATCAGAAGTGTTTCTTCCATCTTCTAGTCAACTGTAACAGCTGACTCTGCTACAGGGGCAAAGTATTAAAAGTAAGCTCATTACTGGAGATACCAATGTAAAAATATTTGGCAAATGAGTCTGTAAAGTGGATCTGTTCTGTGCCCATCCAATTGGTTTACTTAAACCAGGGGTGGACAAAATTATATGGAATTCAGGAGCCAGCAGAATTTTTTTTAAGGTGTCTGCTCTATTGACAACAACTAGAGAAAGCCTCAAAAGTTAGGCGCCAGCTGTCATTTTTAAGGAGCATTGGCTGCCTAGCCCCTGGGACTTGTTCAGTCCTGTCTTAAAGATGAACAAAACAGAGTGGTGCTTGCCTCCACTCCATCAATGTGAAGTCCTCAAGCTTCTTTGGCCATCATAGTATGTCTCTCCTGACATAAAAAGCCTCCCTGTTAGCAATTTGTTTTTAAATAAAGTTCCACTTTAACTGGTGCTATCATCAGCTGCACATACCCAACTTTCTTTCCCTCTCTCCCTGCTTCTTTGTATCACCAAGAAGAGGAAGCCACTAGTAATGTCACATGCTCCCCAGCAGTACTGGGTATTTCTGTTCGCTTCCAGGAAATTAACTGGGTGTCAGGGGAGAGAAAAGAATATGAGTATGTTCAGCTGGAGAGAGTGGCATTTAAGTACACCTGTTAATTTTAGCCTGCGTAGGCAAAGTACAGGTTCCGTTTTAAAAAGTACAGGTTCCGTTTAAAAAAAAGTAGAACTTTGGCCTCTCATTCTAAAAATATGTGGTGTAGCAATTAATAGTACTGCAACTTACAGTTTTCTCTTAGTCCACCTGCCAAGTCCAACAAATAGCTGTTGATTCTGCCAGTAAAGTCCATGTAATGCAGCTTCCTGTGATGGTGTGGCAATGATGCTGCACTGCTCTTAAATGCAGAGCAGAGTTGACACTCTCATGTGCCTGTAGCTTGTTAATCAGCACCTGGCCACACCTAGTCCTGACCCCTGGAGACAGCAAGGCCTGAGTTACTGAATCCCTCCCACTGTAAGCTGCAGTGTCTGAGAGGGTAAGCGTGTGAAGCACAAATGAGGTAGGGTTTGGCTCAGTTAGGTAAGGTAAAGGGATTTTTTTTTATTTATGAGGCTTGTGTTTCACATAGTAACTGGTTTTGGTACTTGTTTGGACTGTCATACAGAAGCATCTTCTGTACTTTTTACTTTCATTTTATATTATTCACTGTACAATATTAATCTTCCTATTCTTTCACAGAATGTCAGCAAAGCATCTTAAAGAAGCATTTGTAACCAATCACAACGGGACCAGCATTACAGAGATCTCATCAGGCTTGAGTGTAACGACTCTTTGCATCCTATTCCGAGGATTGCTCCTTATTAGCCTCTATCATAAATCTGGTACAATAAGTAGCTCATGGAAAGGTTACTTTTTAATTGATTACATTCTCTTGGTACTTCCACTGGTACTGTCATGCACAATCTTCTCTGATGTCCTACACATAGTTTTGCTGTCTATTGCAGCACTTTGTTTACTGCTGTTTTACGTCATAAGCAGAAAGAGAAATAAATCTATCAAGACATCCCTGTATCAAATCTGCCAGTCCTTCCTGAATGCACAGGTGGGAAATGGGGCTATCCCAGCTGTTACAACTTTGCGTGTGTTCCTCAATGTACTTACTGCAGTTGCTATTCTGGGTGTGGATTTCCCTTTATTCCCTAGGCGTTATGCGAAAACCGAGACATACGGAACTGGGGTGATGGACTTAGGAGTTGGATGCTATGTCTTTGGGAATGCTCTCGTTTCTCCAGAAGCCAGAACACAAGAAAGAGCGACATGCTCAGGTTTTTTTAGAGTAAGAAAACAGATTCTGTCAGTTTGGCCGCTAATTGTTCTTGGACTTGCACGACTAATAAGTGTGAAAGCGGTCGATTATCAAGAACATGTATCTGAATATGGTGTCCATTGGAACTTCTTTTTCACTCTGGCAGTTGTTAGGATTTTATCATCGCTGCTATTGACATTACTGTCACCTCAGAAAAGCTGGCTTATAGCTGCCACCATCATTATAGTCTATCAGTTGTTTTTGGAAGTGACTGATCTAAAGAGTTTCCTTATATACGGCACTGATGGTCAGGGCGCAAGAGTTGGTTTCTTAAATGCAAACAGAGAGGGTGTTTTTTCTGTGATTGGCTATGTTGGAATATACATGATCGGAGTTCAAGTTGGACTATATGTTCTGAAGAAGAGGGTGTTGGTAAAGGAATGGATCCAGGTCACCTGCAGCTTGGCAGTTCTGTCTTCTGTGTTGTTTATCTGCACAATTGGGTTCCAGATTTATGTAGAACCTGTGTCCCGCAGAATGGCCAATTTGCCTTTTTGCATATGGATTGTTGGTCAGTGTGTGGCTTGGCTGTGCTCATTTTTAATATGTGACCTGATTTTGGCATTAGCTGAGTATATGACTCCTGGTAGTCATGTACCAAGCACATGGAACACTCGCAAATCTTCACAATCCTCTGTCAAAAAGGTTACCCCTAACAGAGATTCAAAAAAGGAAGTTCATCAATGCCTTATTGAAGCCATCAACAAAAATCAATTGCTTTACTTCTTGATTGTTAATATATTAACTGGAATAGTGAACATGACAGTTGATACCATTCACAGCAGTGATTTGTTTTCTCTCTTTGTGCTAATCACTTATATGTTTACAAATTGCCTGATTGTATACCTTTTATGCATCAACAATATTACTGTTAAGTTCTGGTGAATACAGTTTATTGCATTGTACAAGTTGATCTTCAGTTACATTTATAACTCTGAGTTCTTCATGCGGTGTTGTTGCCATGCATTTTAGATATGTTACCAATCATATGTATAGAAGATGCTTTTTACTAAAGATGCACCAAGAAGGATTTTTTTAACACACTAAGATGCTGAGTACAAATGTAGCCTAAAACAAAAATAAGAAAGTTGTGTTATCATTGGTATCAAATTTCAAATGCCTTCCTCATTTGTAGCAGCTGGAGATTGAAGAATGATCAATTTGTACTCAAAACATTTGTGATTAAGTTTTTAAGAATTATTTACATAATAAAAAATATTTATTTTTTTGCAGTAATGTAGTGCATGTTTCAGGTTGCTTTTTTATTTGCTCCAGAAAGGTAAAGAAGAAATTAAGATGGGAAATAAGATTAATGAAGGTAAGGTGAAAATAATAAGCAATCAGAGAGGAAACGGAAATAGCAAAGGTGCATTTTTTTATAGCACAAGACAGAAGTGTATAGCCTACATAAAATTAGGGATGATTTTTACCTGTCAATAGGAGGTTACCCAGGCATGTCAGGATCAGTAATCTACTTAAATGTTAAAGGGAACTAACACACATTTGGGAGCTGCCATGACTTGCTAGGAGAGGTAGATGCTCTAAAGCAGCGGTAGTACAATGGCAGCTCCCATGTTTCTTGCCTCACTTTCAGTATTAAACATATATTCTCCACTAGTCTTTGGATATAGGTTTTAAATCTGAATTGTTGCCAGTACAGACAGTTCCTATTTTAGATAAACAAACCTAACACATTTCTTTGTAACACACAAAATCATTGCCATCATTTCAATTTGCTTCCATTAAAGTCTTCTGTATGTTTAATATAAATTGAGCCAAACAAATTGATGTGCATATATGATTAGGCAGTAAAAAGAATGATGACTCTACTGCCCTATTCTGGCACTTCGGTACTGCAGAGGTGTCACACATAATTTCACCGCAACTTGGCCCCAGCTGCAAACGTGGTCATATTTTCTTCAGGGTCAGTCCGGTGCTGTGCCACCAATTTTGTGGTGTATCCTGGTGTTCAGACACTGTCAAATAAATTTACTAATTTCTGTTGCTGGCTTAATGCTATCATGGCAGCTTAAAGTTTGCTTTGTATTCCTGTCATGAGGATCTGTCACGGAGTCGCACATATTGTTTCCAGAACTGGGCCTCAGCTAAATTTTAAAGTGTTTACTGCAGGGTACATCATGCTCTGTGTCTCCTGGTTTTCGGCCTTGTCCACGTCTCCAGTAATCAAGAATATTGTGTCTCTAAAATTAAAGTATATTAGCTGTGATTTCCTCATTAAAACCTGCCTGGCCCCTCCCCTTTAAATTACGGCCTAGTAAAAGTTCCTACATATTCTGCATGGGGTCTGTAAAATTGTTTGCATTTTTTCTTTTTTAGAGAAATAATACATTTTTTTTAAATTTTTTTATTAAAAGCTGCCTGGTGTCTCTCCTATTCGAAATACGCCCAAGTAAACATTTGTATTATTGTGTATGTAGTTAGTTTTTCTATGAAATAAACACACTCTAAAGTTGTTGTTTTTTCGTTTTTTTTTTTCTTAATACTGACTTTTGTCTCTCCTGTTCATAATGCTGTGTACTTAATGCTAAATAAATATATACAGTTAAAGCAGACCTTTACCCATATCTTTAAATAACAAACACACCTTTTAGAAATGTGCAGTAATGACTATCTATAAACACATACTTCTAGATAATTGCCGGCTGTGTATTCTTTACATACCATTTTTCTCTTTTCTTCCCCAGTCTTCTGACAGTGGCCATGTTTACTAAGGGCAGATTAGTAGCTTTCCTATTACTTCCTGACAATCTGGCACATGTGACAAGGACATGTGACCATACACATCATCTCAGGGAAGGAAAATGCCTTTCCCTGAGATCTCCTGAGATTACAGATGAGATTTCCCAGCAATGCTCTGCTGATGACAAGGTAATCCCAGTGTGCATTGCTTTTCCAAACTGAAGTAATTTGCAGTTGGAAGTGAATGCTCTGCAAGTGTAAGTATTTCAGCATCACAGCATTTTACACCTGACATGTCTATGTTATTTCTAATCATCATACATAGAGGGATGCATTGATATAGTTTGATTTTTGAGTGTAAAGGTCCGCTTTTAAGTGTGGACTTTGGGGAGGTAAAACTTCATGAGACTGTTGAAATACTATCTATGCAGTCTATACAATATTCCTTTGTTTTAACAGTGAAAGAGTGCAAATGGCCTACAGATGTGATACATTAATAAAGATTTTTAAAAGCTTAGTTGATTGATACCTAGTAGGGCTTCTTGACTGCATATGCTATTTTTTTTCAAAGGTAACCTAACCCTTTATTCACCTTGGCAACAAATTTTATTTTTAGTGACTGGGCTGGTAAACTAGCAGCCAGGTGGCAACCCTATACTGGCTTAGTTTCACATATGCAGGGCTATTCACAAAAGGTTGAAGAGTTTGGAGAAGTGCGCAATCTAGGACAACATAGCAGAACTGGAAAGTGAACTGAATTGGATAATTTTTCCAGCTCAACTATGTTGTCCTAGATTGTTCACTTCTGCCTTCTCCAAACTCTTCACCATTTTGTGAATAACCCTGACAGTGTTGTGCGGGGTCTTTGTGCAAACCCAGTTTGCCCAAGCCCAATAAATCTGCCACTGGCACACTCCCTTCCTCATCCAATCAGGTACAGCAGGGCATTCCCCTCAGCTACATGTCATAAAGGGGCAGGGAATATCCTTACTGCAACAGACTGGGCTGGCAGGAGTGTTTCAGTGGCCGATTTGCAACTCTGTTTGCAAACTGGTAAAGTGCATTCCCTGCCATGTAGCTACACATCGGAAAGCGATGGGGAATGCCCGGCTTCAATTGAATGGGTCGGTAGGGGGTGCTTCAGTTGCAGATTTGCCAAGCTTTGGTGAACTCGCAAAATAGGTTCGCACAAAGTCCCCACATATTACTGTTTACATGCCATATAATGAAAGTGACAGCTGTTCTGTAATACATCATACACTCTCAGTATACAATACACACAATATGTTTTTAATGTAGCAGACGTAAACCAGCCACAACAAATGCTAATTCTGCAACACTTTTTATAACAACCAGCTTCAACTGGACAGGAAAATAGCTCAACTAGCAGCATTTGAATACTGGAACTTTCTGTTCATTTTACCCAGAACTCGTTCAAATAAAGTTTCAAAATTCAAACGGGACGTGTGCACAGGTCACAGATTCGCCAACTAGTAAATTCGTTCTATCGTCCCCACACATCTTAGTTGCTTTGAAATAATGACCCTTTAGCTGACACGTTAAAATTCGAGCAGTAATTGACGTGAGGTGTACTTCCATTTTTAGCTCGGCATTCTCGGGCCTGGACACGGAAGCGTTCTCGGCGTGGCGAATCTGCTAAAGCGGACAGGCATAGCAGGGAGGGGTTTGAGGGCGGAGTGACCGCTCGCTGTTTACGACACTAAGCTGCTGTGGTTCAGGCAGGATCTGCGAGAAGTGGCAGAGATGGCGAGGCTGGTCGCAGTTTGCAGGGACGGAGAGGAGGAATTCCCCTTTGATACGAGGCAGATTCCCCTGTATATTGATGATACGTTGACGGTGAGTCCCTTCTGAGCGGACATGCAGCGTCTCCCTGCACACATGAGGAGAAGGGGAGGCCACACAAGCCAAGGCTTTCCTAGCAGAGAACGGCTCGTCAGGCGAAAAGCGGAGGGAGGCCTTGCACTACCCCCAACGGCCTCCTCCTCTCCCTGAGCAGCCTGTACTTCTGACGGGGCTCGGTGTGCCTGTGCGGAGGCACTGTGCAGGCTATGCCATGGCCAGGCCTCTCCCTGTCAACTTTACTCGAACCAGCGGTGACATATGTATTGTCTGCACCATTTCCACGACCTGGGCCGGCTGGGGGACGACTTTTATGTTACCTGGCTGGGATTTTAAATGTTCCTCGAGTTTTCTGGGATTTCCCTGTCCATTTACTTTCTGCTTTTTAAAGTAGACCTAAACCCAATCACCAGATTCCCATATAGATATTAACATGGGAATGTCATTACAAAGTAGAGCTAAACCACCCAATTGCCAAATTCCCATATAAATATTAACATGGGAATGTCATTACAAAGTAGAGCTAAACCCAATCACCAGAACCACATATAAATAGTAACATGGGAATGGCATTACAAAGTAAAGCTAAACCCAATCACCAGAACCACATATAAATAGTAACATGGGAATGGCATTACAAAGTAAAGCTAAACCCAATCACCAGAACCACATATAAATAGTAACATGGGAATGGCATTACAAAGTAAAGCTAAACCCAATCACCAGAACCACATATAAATAGTAACATGGGAATGGCATTACAAAGTAAAGCTAAACCCAATCACCAGAACCACATATAAATAGTAACATGGGAATGGCATTACAAAGTAAAGCTAAACCCAATCACCAGAACCACATAGAAACGTTACCATGTTAATGCCATTCCAAAGGTTTTTAATCTGCAGCTTTCATTAAAATGATACCTGTTATCCTAGCATGAAGGTCCTTTTTTAGGCACTTCCTGTTATAGGGTGACAACTGTTTTGTTTATAATAGGCATCTATAAAGTGCATACAGTTTGTGCAGTGCTTTACATGCACATTCACATCAGTGCCTGCTCTCAAGGAGCTTACAATCCAAGGTCCCTATCTTGCATACATACAAGGCCAATTTAGCCTTTAGGGTTTTTTTTTTTGTTTTATTTGCACCTTTTTCAGGCTTGAATGCTTTTGTTTTCACCAGTGGAAAGCTAGTTACTAGGGGAGATGGTTGTTAGGTGCAAAAATGCACATCAAGCTCGTTTTTCAGGTTCTCCCATTGAAGTCTGAGGCCTAAAATTCACAATTCTGTCCTAAAAGAAGCTCATGTACTTTTTCAAGCGACAG